TTGTTGACAAAATGAATCAAACCCATATTTATTTCTACGTTATCAAATTCGCGATTTTAATTGGTCAATCAACAAATTGCATGGGTTAAAATTTTGTATTCCCTCCTGTTAATTTTTGTGTTCCCAGTACGTTCTCTCCTGTTATTAACGGGTTGATTATTATATTGTTACGCGTGGTAAGTAATAATATATTATTAATAATAATTCTTATTAAATATATAACATTGTATTAATATTTCTTTTTTTCCAAAATGGTGTTCACTATTATTGTTACGCACGTGATCATCAGAGCAGTAAGTAATAATATATTATTATTTAATATTTTTTATTATATATATAACATTGTATTTAATATTTCTTTCTTCCAAAATGGATTCATAGTTAAACAATAGGTTATTTTCATACAACAATTAAAGAAAAAAATTAGTTATTATTTTATTATTATCATCATCATTATTTATTGCTATGTATAAAATTTATTTGTATTTAAAAAAATAAATAAAGTTTCTTTTGCCAACTGTATATTTATTATAAAATAAAAATAAATTCAGTGTAAAAAAAATGAAGTTGTCATTTTATTAATTTTCGTGTGTTAGAAATTTTTATAGAAAACCCCTAAAAATTCTGATACTATATAAGGCGGGATCACCACACATCCATTTATGGTATAATCCCAGACTGTAATATTAATGATAATAAAATTGTACAACATAATAATAATAATAATAATAATACAGTCGAACCTTGTTATAATGAACACACTGTTTTGGCCTCAATGATTCGTTATAATGAGGTATTCGGTAAAAGTTTTTTTTTGAAATATACATGCTGTTTTCAAAGATATAGACACCAAATTAGTGTGCAAGATAGTATATGTAACATAGATTAGAGCTATGGAAAGATTTAATGGATTAAAAATACCAGTGGTGTAAAAAAACTCTTTCAAAATACAGAAAATTTCTTTCTTTATCATTATACTTCTATCTATTGCAACTTCCGAAAAAATTGTATGAAATAAAGATTCTGTCTGCATAGCACTATTCTACAAATGTATCCTGATCAAAAACCTCTAATAATTTTATAAATATAACGATTTTCCAGAAGCCTTAGTGATTGAAAGTTCATAATACTAATAAAATGCTAATAAAACATACTGTTTTCAAACCACTACTCCTCCTCCGTTTTCAAAGATATAGACACTAAATTAGTGTACAAGATAGTATATGTAACATAGATTAGAACTATGGAAAGATTTAATGGATTAAAAATACCAGTGGCGTAAAAAAACTCTTTCGAAATACAGAAAATTCCTTTCTTTATTGTTATACTTCTATCTATTGCAACTTCCGAAAAAATTGTATGAAATAAAGATTCTATCTCCATAGCACTGTTCTACAAATGTATCCTGATCAAAAACCTCTAATAATTTTATAAATATAACGACTTTCCAGAAGCCTTAGCGATTGAAAGTTCATAATACTAATAAAACGTAATATTTATTTAAAAAATAATAGCAAAATATTTTGCTACACTTTCCTTTTTTAGAGAAAAAAAGGGGGCACCATAAAAAAATCCGCATATATGGATTACATTATGACATTAATTAGATTTGTTAATCAACTTATATCGAATACCCCAATAAATTATCATATCAGAAGTAAATAAACTATACAGCAATGATTTATTTGATTTTACCAATTTCCTTTTATCTTCATAACAATTTTTAACCATAAAACAATCTATCTCGTGAGGGTGGCAACCACAACATGTAACCACTGATTGGGTTATCAGAAATAAGATTGTGAGTTTTTTCAATCTTGAGTTTGTGCATAACATTCAATGAATTGGTTAATTCATTTCTAAAAGAATGCATGACCTCAATTATATTATACAAATAGCATAAGTCCAACAATCTTTTTGGTAATGAGAACCAGAACAATTTTTTTTTTTGTGATATAGTCCATGACCGACAATATATGCAGTTGAAATAGAGCAATTATATTCTATAAATATCAAATTACATGTTAAATTTCAAAAGCGTAAATAACAAAAATAATAATTGTAACAGAAAGGGTAAAACTTTACTTTCATCAATTTGAAAACTGAATACTTGGAGTTTTTTAGAACCTCAATATCACATATTTTATAATCTTCCAGATGCCATCATTGAGCATGTCAATCACGCACCATTTAAGTTTTACTTTATCTCCCTCTGTGTGTCTCTTTGGAAGACTAGTTGGTGTTCCAGATAGCTCAAAAATAAGGAGTTATTTATCATCTAGGTTGACGAGTGATCCTATACCATCAGTTTTTGAACCGATTCTACATCTTTTGTCTTCTTTGAGATGCAAATTTTGGCGGTTTGCTGTGGACAAGCTTGAAATTTCACTCCTACAATCAAAAGAAAGAGTTATTAATAATCACAGAAACAATCCATCAAAAAAAAAAAGTTTCTTACCAAGTTACATCCATATTTTTGAATATAAAAATAAAAGGCTTAATTATGGGTTCAATAGATGCACATGAAATGTTGATTTGATGCTTGGTCATTGTGCAAAATATTCTAGTTGGTTCTTGAGAAAAAAAATACCATCACTAGTCAAGGTTCTTCATACAATAAAAATTATAGTATATTATCGGTAAATTTGGTTCCTTTTTTATGTTACGTGTTTTTCGATTGAAAATACTTAATATTAACAAGGAACCTCTATTCCGCTAACCAACACGTGGAATCAATTACTGATTCATTCGTAAGTTCATTGCAAAAGCTCCAAAACAACCACTTATAAAGCAGCCAGGTTTGATAATTATGAATTAATAGCTGATGTACTGAATGCGATTAACTTGTTGCCGGATGTGAAACTTGATTAAAGGTAAACAACGATGCTGTTACATTCCCTGAACGAAGAAATTCAGATTTGCATATAAAATTTAATAATAATAATAGTAAATTTTTAAATTAAAAAAACTAAAACCTTCATCAATAAAAAAACATTAATTAAAAATATTATTTTATGAATGTCACAATAAAACTAGCTAACAACTCAATGAAGAAATTGTTCTAAGTGTAGCAAAAATTATTACTTTATTTTTACAAATAAAATTTTAAAAATAATGAGTATTGCAAATTCTTCCATTTAATTAATTACATATTTGCATTTGTTTATTAATAACTTGTGTTGACATTGATGCAGTAGTTAATATAAATTATTGAGACGAATGAAACAAAGCACTTATGTACACTCTTTTCACACCTCAATGAGATCTTTGTGTCGTCGTTTCCAAAACACTTCATTATTCCACCTTTGTTCCTTATTATAAAAAAACACTTTTTCTCTCATATATTTACTCAATACGTTCTCGATGTATTGCTGATAGACCTCCAAGGGCTGAATTTGTTTCCCTTCGTTTTTCGTCTTCCTACCATTAAAATATTGGAAAAATATTGCTTCTGCCCCAAACTTTGCACTATTTAGAGCGGTAAGCATCCCTTGGGATGAGAGCGGATCAAAAGAAACAGCACTATCACCAATTGCTATCCATCGATTTTCGTAAGAAGCTGATTTGGGATTATAGTTAAAAGTTGAATGTCAACACTATTAACACACGATAAAAATTAGGTACTTACCAAATTGAGAAAGGCTTGCTGAATTCGCAGGCATGCACGTAACCCTTTTCCCCACAGGACGATATGAATATTCGCTTATATGTTTTGCAATATGCGTAGAAGTTTCCTTTATGAATTCATTAAACTCCTCAGCTAGTCTGATTTTTCTATTAATCTGATGGAGCAGATCGTCATCAGTATGAAAAACAACAATGCGTTGCTTGCTAGGCAACAGACTGGTGTACCACCATCCGAAGGCACAGGATTCTACGAGGGTGTAATGGTTCGAATCGATCAATTGAGTCTTGGATGGAGTGTCATAGCCGACTTCGAATAAACATGCGAATGCCAACAGCTTGTCGGAAGAATTTCGTTTTAAATCTGGTAAACATTTTCGGATACAACAGCGACGGCCACTTGCATCAATGAGGGTTTTCCCGTGAATTTGGTGTGGATGTGATGGTTCTAGTAATATATAAGAACGAAGGTACCTGTATTTAATGAGATCTTAGCTTGCAAAAAAAAAGGAAAAAATAAGTTTACCGTCGCTTGAAATCGTAATCTTCCAATGTGCATCCCCTTGATCAATATCTTTGGAGAGGAATAACTCAGTCACCTTAGAATCACGCATAATTGTTATAAGTTGACCATGTTCCAACACAGCAGTTTTAAGCAGCGTTTCCTCAAATAGCAGCCTATCCAAATGAAACCCCTCACCATAAATGTTGAATATTGTATTAGTACCCAGTAAATCATCAGAACCCCATGCAGAACAATTTTCGTAACAAAAGTTATGTTTTCCTTATAATAAGTATAAAGTGGACGTTAGTAAAGGTGCATGGGTTTCTGTCATAAAATAATTGTTCAAATATCAATACCTTGCATTGCATCGTTATTTACTGCCTCAAATACACCCAACGACTGAAGTGTAGATTTTGCTTCTCCAGGCAAGGACTCTCCAACTTTAAACGTTTCTGCATTTGGAGCTCTCTCATCAATAACTAAAATTTTCCGCCAAGTTGCAGCTGCCAAATTGAACAACTGGGCCAGTCTTATTGCTGTACATGACCCCGCAACACCACCGCCTATAATGATAACGTCAAAATGTTGCTGGATGTTCATTTATTATTATTGTCAATTTTCGTAAAAGGAATGAATTTTTAACATTAGGAAAAAAATATTTCATTAGTTTGTGTAATTTGCAAAAATATATAAATATATTATTACCGCATCTTACAAACTTTGCCAACATGCACGTATCTGTAATAAATTTGTCGTTTTCAGATCTTAAAATGTATCATTAAAATTTGGTAAATTTTATAGTTTGAATGAGCATTTTATGAGGTGATGTGTTCATCAAAACATTTACACATGATAATTATTTTTATTTTTATTTCTTCAAATTACCAATTCAATGTTTAAATATTAATTCTCTTTTGTGTAAATAAGAATATATACTAATATGAATTAGAGGTTGGAACCGGTTTTAATAAAAACGTAAACCGGTTTGCAATTGATAATCTAATTTCATTTTTGTGGAGTTTTTGTGTGTTCGATGGCTGATGATCATCAAACATATATATAGCAATTATTATGTGCTTGCATGTAAATGTTGGACAACAAGAATATATTTTTTGAAAACACGAATTATAAAAAGAATTTTTAAGGTAAAAAAGTAATAATAAATAGAATAACTTTAAACCATAATAATAATAACTTTTTTTTTTCGTAATAACCTTTTTATGGTTTTATTGCTTAAGTCTTCTATAATAAATCTATAGAGCTTTTTTCCCTATCTCATTTGGTTATAAAATTTTTCTATTAGCAATCTTTTTTCAATTTCTTTAGAATATACAAAAAAAATCTCTATAGCCTAAAATTTGATTCATTTGCTATAATTTCCCTCGTTTTATATTTGTATCTCTGATAGAATTTTATTTATATATTGTTTTATTTAAAAATTTGATTTAATTAGGAATCTCACGTCAATCGGCCAGTTTCACACATGCATTTTTACTGTTTCATGACAGACGCCATTGTTACATAATACAGTCAAAATTCGTTTCAAAATCTTGCGATTGATAATGTTCTTTTTTTAAAGAAAATTCAATGTTTACTAAAATGTTTACTTATAATTTCCATTTGAAATCTTGCTGATTTTTTTCCAGGTCATTCATTATTATATTTATATATCATATATTTTTAAATATTAAATATTAATATAAATATAACATTAACATTAATATTAAAAAAAATATTAATATGAAAAGTTCAAATTTGATATCAAAAACGGTCTTTATTCGTTCTTTGGCTTTATTAAACTAGGTTTTTTTGGGAAGCATAAGAGCAAAATCAAAGGCGGTGGATAATTTTTACTGCGTTGACTGCAATTCTTAAAAATTTCCCCCAACCAACTAATTGATTGATTTTAAAAAAAACCCACAATTCATTTTTCCTTCTTTTCCCTACCATAATTATCATTATTATTTTATATATTTCAACTTGCTTGTAAACATGTGCACTACAGAAGTAATCAGTTATCAGTTATATTATAATCATTTTTTCTTGGCGAATTCTATTGAACTATATTTCAAACTGAAGTAGAGTTTGGATCCGGTTTATTTTTGTCAAACCGGTTCGAATTCGGATTCTAAACAGGCAAACCGGATTGGACCGGATTGGAACCGGATTCAAAACGGATTTAGAATTTTTGGACGATCTTATTATTATTATTATTATTTATTGTTAAAAATAACAGTAATTACAATAATTACAATGAACTATTCTGATTCTATATCTTCATTAGAATCCCAACTTGGTGCAAAAACATTCATGAATTTCATATTTCGCTTTAGAAAAAGCATCTTAACAACTAAATTACAATTTAAATGGTTTCTTTTTTGATTTATGATATTACCAGCATCAGAAAAGAGACACTCACTTGACACAGAACTTGCTGATATTTTAATGCAAGTTTAGAAAGGTATGGAAAAGCTTGTGTGCAAGCTTTCCACCATTCTAATGGACTTTCATTCTCTGATGCTAATGAAAGATCCAAATAACTTTTTACTTCATCTAATAAATAATGATCATTTGACAAAACATTTTTTCTTTTACCCTTCAAGAGGCAACAATGTTTATACCCTTGATAAGAATGTGTTAATGAAATATCATTTATAAAATCAACTAATTGATGTTCATTCTGATTTATATTCAATTCAGGTTTCAATTCATTGTATTCTATATAAAGTTGTTGTATTAGTTGTTGTTTTTCATGCTCATCATCAATGCAATCTAAATTTTTATAATGAGGATCCAAAAGAGTTGCTAATAATCCAAGGTCATTAGGCCATTCCAATAATAGATTAATGAATCATAGATTTTTTCTTTAATTTTATTCAATAAATTAATTGTATTTATAGGATACTTGATTGAAATTTTCTTTTTTGAATAATTGCTTAAAACTTCTTCATCATCAATGTCTGGGATCGAGTTTGTTTCATAAAGATCATTGAATTCACTGGTTATAGTTTCACCCAATAATGATGCTTCATAAAAATCTCCTAAATTGAATATTAATTCCTTTATTGTTGGCACCATTTTACTTAAAGTAACATAAGAACCACCTGAAAATTCACATGTGGCTTGCTCAAAAGGTATTAATAAAGTTATTAATTCATCAACTAAATCCCATTCCTCATCTGATAGCATTATTTTTCTAAGCTTATTTCCATCTTTTTTTTCTTCTCTATTTGTTGATGTACATAAAAAGAAAAGATGATCAAATGCATAATATGAGGAGTTCCACCTAGTGGAAACATCTTGTACCAATTGCAAGGCTTCTGTATAACCTTAATGTTTTTGTACATTTTTTAACCTCTCTACTTGTTTTTGTGTTGAAAAAAAATTAATTATCCTTCTTACATGAGCAACCAATACCTCAGCAATCATTAAACCTTTTCTAATTGCTAATTGTAATGTGTGTGATACACATGGTAAATATTTGATGGCATAACAACCAGGTTTTTGGTTAAGTAATTGAATGGATGCAATCATATTGGCACCATTATCAGTCACTATAGATACAATTCTACCTAACAAATTCAGTCTAAAATACTTTCATAAAGAGAATCAGCAATTACAACTGCAGTATGAGGTGCAGAAACATATTTAATATCTAACATGATGTCAACTACACTAAAGTCTGTTGCAATAAAAGAAGCAGTAATACCAAGGTATCTATGCTTGGCTCTACTGGTCCAGAAGTCTGTAGTTAATGAGATATAATCAATTCTTCGTTGAAAAATTTCACATAATGCTTCTTTGTTAAAACTGTAACTTTTTCCATTCATAGTTCATAATTTTTTTGCACCTGGTACAGAAAATTCTGGATCAAAAACTTTCATTTTTTTTATATATGCTTCATTAGTAACAATAGACAAAGGTTGGTTGGTTTTCCAAAGGCAGCGAATTCCTTGTCAGATAATATCCATTTAAGCAGTGCCTCTTCTTTTTTTTTCTGAATATATTGAGGATGGTTATGAGTTACTTGTGAATAATCAGTTATTTTTCTTTGTGACTAAATGTTAAAAAAGATAATACAGTGTGGGACAAAAAATTTTGCCTTCAATGTTGATGTAATTAAAACCTGTATACTTATTAAATTTAAAGAGTATCACATGAATAATATACCAAATTTGTATTGTGTTATGTGGCACATTGTTTACATATTCAACGTTAGAATTATTTCACTGTTGTTCCTTTTAAATCACAATCAAAATGACATTACAAGATAAAAGATTGCACCCTCAAGTTATTTTACATTTTTGGAACAATGGAATACGATCTCCTCAAGAGATTCATAAACAAACTAACATCCCATTAAGGACGATTAATTATAATATTAAAAAAATAAAGGATACTGGTAGTATTGTGCGTAAAGAAGGGAGTGGTCGCCCTAAAAAAATTACTTCAAGATCATCTAAGGCCATTGGCCAGTACTTGAGACGTGATCCATCTCTCTCTTCCCGAAAGATAGCAATTAAGTTATCTGAAAATGATCTTGAAGTATCTTATAGAACTGTTTTGAGACATCTACACAGTCTGGGTTATAAAAATAATTTACCCGCAGTCACTCCAATGCTTACCAGTGTCCATAAAAGAAAACGTGTAGAATGGGCTCACGCTCACCTTAATGATAACTGGAAAAACCCCCTTTTTTCGGATGAAACTGCTTTTCAGTTATTCCGAAATACCATAAAACAGTGGTATAAGGGTGCATGGCCAATCCACCCTATTCCAAAAAATCGTACAAAAATTTTTGCCTGGGGCGGATTTTGTGCAACAGGAAAAACTAGCCTTTTCTGCTTTCAAGAAATAATGACGGGATTTTTTTACATCGAAATTCTTCAGAAGCACTTTCCTGAGATTAAACAAATGCTAGGATGTGTCTGGCGCTTTCAGCAAGACAATGATCCCAAGCATACAAGTGCTGTAGCTCGGGAGTTCCTTCAGGCAAATATGCCTGAAGTTATTGACTGGCCATCTAACAGCCCTGACATCAATCCCATAGAAAATCTTTGGAGCATAGTTAAGACCAATGTAGAAAGGCGACGACCAAAAAATCTCACCAAATTAAAGTGTTTTATGATTGAGGAGTGGGAGAGTATTCCGGATTCTGTTATAAAAAATTTGATAGGCTCAATGAAGAGACGTTGCGAAGCGATTATTGAAAGAAATAGCAAACGAATTCCTTTTTAATTTTTATAATAAAATCGATTCATTTCATAGTTTTAAATGAGCTATTTTATAAGTGATTTGCTTTGTTGGTTGTAAAGTTATTGTAATATTACCGAAGGCAAAATTTTTTGTCCCACACTGTATATATATATAAATAAAAAATTAATTTTCCTTTTGCATCTTTACTACATGATTTCAATTCCTTCAATTAATTGGTTTCTCTTGCTATATTTAAATAGTGTGTGAAAAAAAAGTAGTTTATATTTGATTGCTCATATTACAGCTGGTTAAATCAATGAAACATTTTTTTTATAGATTATAAAATGATTGACAGACGGATCAAATTTTTTTTAATAGTCAAACCTCCATAAGTGCACCCTCCATAAATGCACACTATGTCTCGGTCCTGACCTCAGGACTTAGTGATAAATGTACACCCTCTATACTCTGCACTGCGTGGTATTTTTTCAGTCCGCTCATATATGGGGCATGGACAATAGAAACAACCCAAACGTCAAAAATCATGATTTTGAGTTAATAACATTCCTATATGTAATTCATTGCAAAGATTAATTTTAGCTTAGAAACCATACCCACTTT